TGCCCATTATCACTCTCTTGGACAGACGGTGTGAGGGTCTCTCCCACCCCAGGCATTGCTGTGGGCACGATGCCCAGCCAGAGTTTAGGAAAGTGGGTCGGGACAAGCCATGGTTGCCATGGTCCAGGTCTCATCTGTAGCACGGATGCTTTCTTGGCTCCGGTAAGTGCTACTTATTCAGTAAGCATTTAAATCCTCACAACCGTCTCTCAGGTAGGTGATTTTAATGTCCCCATTTCACAAACTAGGACATTCGGGTTGGGAAAGATTCAGTAGCTTGTTCCAGGTCCCAAGGCAGCCATGAACGACACTCAGTTTGAACCCATCTGTGAAACTCTGGACCCCACGTGCTTACGTCCAGCGCTAATGTGCTCGTCCCAAGCAAAGCAGAGAGTCTGGAGCCTGGGAGCTGGGGCTGGCACCCTGGGATGTGGAGGAGATGGGCCGAGTCTCCCATTCACTGGGATGCGCTGATATCTGGTCACATTTGTCCAGGTCCAAGAGTGAAGGCCAAAGAGCCCCAGAAATTCAGCATTTTCGACCGTGATCATAAAGTGTTGGTCCTGGACTCTGGGACCCTCAAAGCAATTCCACATAAAAGCTACATCCTCCCAGGTAACTCACAGTCCAGCCAAGGTGAGACCTCTCTTTGCACGGGTTCGGACGTACCACGCCCCCAGTGCCAGCAGGTGTGGTCCTGGTGAGAGGCCCTAAAGAGCTTTAGGAAGTGGGTAGAGGGCATGACGGGATCAGAGGGGAGTCTTCTGGAAGGGTGGGCTGAGAGAAGGAGCCTGTGGCTCAGGCTTGGAAGAGGAGCCTTGGGCCAGCATGGGGGAGGGGACTTTGATCCTGGGCTCCAAGGCGGAGGGTCAGCAGGAGGTGGAGCGGGGCTGTGAGTAAGGTCACTGGGATCTCCCTGCTCTGTCTTCACACAGAGACATTCTTTGTGTTGGCCTCACATCTGGCAAAGCCCTCCGAGGAGAAAGGGTCTCCCATTTTGTTGGCCGTCTCTAAAGGAGAGTTCTGTCTCTGCTGTGACAAGAACAAAGGAAAACGTAAGCCATCCCTTCAGCTGAAGGTGAGCATTCCAGGCTGTCTTCCCGTATCTACGGTCACCCACAAGTGGCCCGATTTTGGCTGCAGATCTAAGGCATGGTTTTTAATCCATCTTTTAAGATCATGCATAGAGCCAATTTCCCCATGGCCTTCTGATACCTGCTTTTTTCCCTATCTGTTTATTTTTAAAATTTTTGGTACTGGGAATTGAACCCAGGGGTGCTTAGCCACTGACTGAGCCACGTCCCCAGCCTTTTTTTTTTTTTAAATTTAATTTGAAACAGGGCCTAAGTTGCTGAGGCTGCCTTAGTACTTGAGATCCTCCTGTCTCAGCCTCCTGGGCGGCTGGGATCACACCACACCTGTCTCAGTTGATCTTTAATTCTGGGGTTGGGGTGGGGAAGAGAAGGCTTGGATACTTGTCATCCTGAAAACATGGCTCCAAGCCCCACACCAGCCTTCCCAAGGGCATCTGCCCTAGATCCGTTCCTCCTCTCCGGGCAAAGGCCTGGAGCAGAGGATGGTGTGTTGGGTTTTCTCCCTCTGGAAGCCTCTGCTGTTTGTCACCTCTTATCTCACAGAAGAAGAAGCTGATGAGCCTGGCCGCCCAGAAGGAGACGTCGCGCCGGGCTTACGTCTTCTACAAGTCTAAGGTGGGCTCACGGTACACCCTGGAGTCCGCTGCCCACCCCGGCTGGTTCATCTGCACGTCCCGCAATTCCGGAGATCCTGTTACAGTGACGGATAAAACCGGGCGAAGGAAACACACCGAGTTTTCATTCGAGAATCCTAGCAAAACTGAAATGAGCCAGTAGGGGCAGAGTGAAGAAACTGTCCCCTCAGGCACCTCCCCGGCCTCTCCTCTGACTCTACCCATCAGAGGGGAACACAACAGCTGCTTGCTCACTAACTCTGTGTCTGTGAGTTTCATTTCTCACCCACAAGGAGGGGTTTGCGTTTGAGGCTTATGGAAAGAAGGATTGCCTAATGACGGACTCTCTTTGGAGAGGAAATCGAGTTCTGGGTTCTGCTACCCTGAACCGTCACAGGCTGGGGGCTGGGTCACATGGTGCCATCTGGCCAGGCCCAGCTGGACCCTTGCTGCAGAAGTCATCGCAGGGTGCATGCCTTGCTCTGGAAAGAGCGGTTCCTGCCACGTAGCAGCCCTGTGGGATCTACCGAGGCAGAAGTGCACTGAAGTGGCTGAGGGTGTCCAGGGTACAGTGTGTAAGGAAGAGGGGTGACCGCAAGTCACCATCTACTCACGTGATGTGTGGAAAGGGGTGGGTGGGTTTCAGACAGGTAGCAGAGTCACCTGACATGGGGGAAAGGCACCGAGACAGGGTGTCTGGGTCAGGTGGCAGCCAGAGAGCAGGTGACCAGCCAGTCACATCACATTGGCTGTGAGGAGACCTGGTGACAGGGGCCGGGTTCTGTCCCTAAGCAGGGCTCTGAGCTCCTCAAGGGCAGCTGGCCGAATATCACCTGGGCCTAGAAACACAATGAGGGGCCAGGAGGGAGGCCTGGAAACTAGCTGTCTACTAGTTTTGCCTCTTAGGTTGCCAGTAGTATTAATTGCTTTTCGTTTACTTTAGCATAAAGTCTACTAAAACACTAAGGAGCTTGCAGGAAGGAGGTTGGGCAGGTGAGCTTCTTACTGCTACTGACCACTCACTTAATGTTTACTCAAAACAATGGGCCTCCATGGGCTAAAATCACGCCATCAGCAGGTGTTGCTCTGGACTCCAGGGAAAACCCACATCCTGCCTTTCCAGAGGCTTGAGGTCCCTTCATTCCCACCGTCCCTTCCTTTGCCTTCAAAGATGCAATGGCTGGCCAGGTCTTCCTCACCACCTCACACTCGGACCCTCCTGGCTTCCTTCCTCACTGGCAGGGACTCTGGTCATGCACAGGGGTCTGCCTGAATAATCCAGCCGCCCCCCCCCCCCTCAGGATGTGGAGCTACTCATGGCTGCCAAGTCCCTTTGCCACATGGCACAACAGTACTCACAGATTCTGGAGATCGGGGTGTGGGCATCTTGGGTGGGGGAATTATTCTGCCCCAAGGTAGCTTTTAGTATTGAAGGATGTGCCGAAGAACCAGCGACAGAAATTTCTAGCAGGCCAGAAATGGCACGAAGCTCTGGCTGTACGTCTCAGATGGATAAGAGCCAATCACATTGTTTTTTTTTTGTTTTTTTTTTTAACTTAGCAAAAAATTTATTTCCCAAGAGAGCATGTGGCTGTGCTGGTTTTGTTACATGCCCACTGATGAGGCAATTAAAGACGGTGCATAGATCAATGCTCCCGCAGGACGGTGTCCACCCAGTCTAATGAGATACTTAGAGTAGATCTGATGAGCTAATCCTAGCAGAAAGGCTGAGGGTTCAGGCAGGAGGCCAGACTCCAGTGTAAACAGGCAGTGAGGCAGTGTCCAGTCGCTGAGGGCCAGGTGAGACCACAACAGGCAGAGCTTGGCAGGGTCAGCCTCTTCTGTTGATGCTGCTGCCGATGGTGACGGATACTAACCCAATGGTTTAAAAAAAAAAGTATTTGGTATTTTTAGCATTTTAGAATACACGCAGGTGACAGTAACGTCATGGAGAGGAGGGACTGCTTTCTTCATAACATCACAGGTCCTCCTGGACTCTGATGCAGGGCTGCCCATGACTGCGAGCACCCTGGCTCCCTGACAGACCCACAGAAAAGGGACGGGGCAGGCTGACCATGGCTGTGAGGAGGCCCACCATGCCCCAGACGGGCACGGTCTGCCATCTGTCCTGCTCCTCTTCCCACCTGGTAGTATTGATTGCAATTTGCTGTGTAAAACACAAATTCTCAGGGTCACACACCCTGAGGTTCTGACACAGGTGTTTGGGACACAGCTCAAGATCTAGTTGGCTTTTACAGAACGCTCTCAAGTAATTCTGATGCAGTTGATTCTTTTGGATCCACACTTGGAGAAACACTAGACTTTTCATTAGACAATGGAAACATGACTTTTGTGGCTGAGAGCATTTCTGGATGATTGGATGCTTGCAGACACCTGTCCTAATATTCAGCCTTGGGCTTAAACACACCCTAAGGGGTGTCCCAAGCAAAGTGACCTGTTTTAGTCAGCTATTTTGTTGCTGTGACTAAAGGACCCAATCAGAACAAATGTAGAGGGGGAAAGATTTATTTGAGAGTTTACCGTTTCAGAGGTCTCAGTCCATAGAAATCTAGCTCCATTCCTAGGGGCTCGAGCTGAGGCTGAACATCACGGCAGACAAGAATGGTGGAGGAAAGCAGCTCACAGGTTGGTCAGGAAGCGGAGAGAGACTGCGCTTGACAGATACAAATGTATACTCAAAGCCACGCCCAATGCCCACCTCCTCCAGCCACACCCACCTCCTCAGCGACACTCAGTTAAGCCCTCTCAGGGGCTTAATCACTGATTGGGCGAAGACTCTCACAACCCAGTCATTTCTCCTCTGAACCTTCTTGCCTTGTCTCACACGTGAGCTTTTGGGGGACACCTCACATCCAAACCATAAAATGACCTGAGCCCAAACCACGGAGTAATTCCAGTGCACTGTCCCCAGAACGGAGGTGACCAGCAGAAGATAGCACCGAGAGAGGCTTTTCCACACAGAGCTCCATGGCCTGGGCTGGCTGAGTGAGTCCTCTGCTGGTGGACTTCACGTTGGGGTGAGGATTAAAGACTGAGCAGACCCGAGTGCTGCCCCTGTCCTCAAGGGAGACAGATGTCACTCCGTGTGACTGGGGCGTGTCCTATCGGGAAACCAGAGGGGAAGAGAAACCTGAATGAGCTAGGGAAACAGCGTGGGCTTAACTAGAATGAAGGTGGGAGAGAGCCTTCTGCCATCTTTGAGGAGGTGGATACAGAGAGAAGACACAGAGAAGGAGGGATGTGGACAGCACGGAGCCCGGTGCATCTCCCTGCATGGCAAGGGTGGCTAAGGGCAGCTCAGGCTGTAGCACCCATCCCACCCACTCACCTTGGCACCTCTATTCCTGGAGGGAGGACCAAGGGAAGGGATGGTACTTTAGAGGCATAGGAAACTTCTGTCCCCATCTCTCTTCCCCTGTTCCCTGGAAAGCTTAAAACCCATTTGCTGACCTCACAGAAAAAAAAAAAACAAAGTTTGCCGGAGAGGCAATGAGGGAGAGTGTGGCCTTGGGGACTCCAAGGGCATAGGACAACCTGTACATTTACTTTGAAAATCTGGGAAGAGAATGTGTCTTATTCTTCTTTAGACAACCCCAAAGCATTCAGTGTCTCCTGCTCGCTCCGCTCTCTGAAACTCGGTCCCTCCCCGCCCCTCACAGTCCTGCTGACCCCCTTCCCTCCTGTGGCCATGGGACAGCTCCGCTCCTCACCCACCAGGCAGGGGTACTGTGTAGGGGCCTCACGCTGTTGCTGGTACTTCAAGAGGCCAGGAAAAACCCATGTTCAGCTGTCTTTAGTCACCCCAGTTACCAACTAGCTGGGTCTCCTGGCCTTACCTGGCTAATGTCACCCCTGGCTGTGACCCGGTGGCCGTGTGTTGACCTGCAGGACTGAGAGAGAGATAGTTATGTGGAAGAAATAGGAATGTTCTCAGAATCAACATGAATTCGCTTATATCAACCCTGAAAAATGAGCAGATGAAGCTGAAGGGTAAGAAGGCAGGGTCTTCCACATGGTCGCCTGGTGGGGTCTACACTGCAGCCTGCAAGGATCCGAAGCTTAGAGAGGCCACCAGCCTTCTACAAAAAGTCCTTCTGCAGAGACACCTGTCCAGCAGCGGTCAGTCTGGCCTCAGATGGACACCACTCTTGTGATTAATCATTGTGCCCAAGGACGATTTCAGAATATCTAAAGTAATCCTTCCCATTTTTGCTTGAAAACCTCTCCTGGCCTCAGTTGCCATGGCCACACGTCCCCACTGAGGTGTTCTGCTCTGTGTGAATAAGTATCCACATTCTCTGGAGAATCTCTCTGTTTGCCCCTTTGTTTAGGTTGACAGATGGGGACTTTTAAAGAAATCATATCAAAAGTGGCATTAAAAGCCTTGTGATATCAATGTTCTAACCCTGGCTAACTTGGCTTGTCACAAGACCCTGCTGACGTTTCTAGGGATTTAAAAAATCTGTACCAGAGTTAAATATTATGGAACATATATTTGATTTGCATGATTGGTAAGCTAGTCCCTGGCACGGTTGGAATTGGGGGTGGGATGTGTCTTCATCCTGGGGTGGAAGAGGCTGGGTGTCTCTAGGTGGTGGAAAGAGCTTACTTCACATCCTTGTCATGTCCTGACAGGGAGACCCTGGCAGGGCAGCCTGCCTGAGGCTTCACTTCAGATATAAAACATGAGATTGTTAAGCCCCAGGGTGAGGCCAGGCTGATGGCTCCTGTAACACATATTGAAATGACTCTGAGGCCATTAGGAGGGTTTTGGATCTGGAACCACCTCCAAAGGATCATGCTAAGAATTGGTCCCTAGATGGTGGCGCTTCTGGGAGGTGGAGAACACTTTAGGGAATGCGGCCTGATTGGAGGAAGCAGTGGATGTGCTTTTAAGGAGATATTGGGACCCAGCCCCTTCCCATCTGTCTTTCTCTGCTTCCTGGCCATCTTCCTGAACACTTTTATGTCACCTCACCCTCCCTGCCACGATGCTCCGACTCCACAGGCCTCAAAGCAATGGAACCAGCTGACTACAGACTGAAACCAGGAGCCTACACATCTTCCTTCCTTTTAGGCTGTTTATGTTGGGTATTTTGTCACAGCTAGGAAAGCTGACTAGTACAACAATGATATCAGAATGAGTTCTAAGGCACATCACTTGGTGAAGGATTTGTTATAATGAAGGTCTGAGAAGCAACTTGGGGAATCCTGAGCTCTTTGACTGCAGCAAGGGTCCAAAGAGGTCCAGCGTGGCAGTTCAGGGAAGACCCAAGTGGAGGATTGAGAGAGAGAGAGAGAGAGAGAGAGAGAGAGGTGCTGTGGGTTCTAACCACCAACACCATCATCTTCCCATGAGAACAGTGATGAGGGAGAGTGGGGTGCCCACCCCCACCACAAGGCCATGGAGAGGGGCCTCAAGCAGCCTGGGAGTTGTGCAGTGCCTGCTGGGCTAGTCCTACTGCTCCCTGGAAACCCAAGGTTGGGAGAGGGCTGGCCACCCGCTGTCAGTGAGGAGGCAAGCATCTGACCTGCTAGAACCAGTGAAGACCAAGGACACAGGAGTGTGGGTGCTGAGTGGCCCTGAGGAGGGCCTGGGTGAGAGGGGCTGGTGGGCATCTTCACTTCCTGCCCAAGAGGGCTGCTGCAGGACAAATAGACCTCAGCCCCGGATGCTGGCCGGTGCCCGCGGGGGTGAGGGGAAGGCCAGCGCTGAGCCGGGCAGCTCAGGTCAAGGGAGCAGTGAATGAGCGACGCTCTCCATGCCAGGCACACAAGGCCACAGGGACCTCAGGTGGACAGCAGGAGCCAAGTCCCAGAGCACAGATCAGCCAGAGGAGAGCAGAGCAAGGAAGAGCAGCACCTGTCTTCAGTCACTGGAGGGGACAGAGAGGGAAAGAGGAGCTGCAGGGAACTGCTCTGGCAGACCCTGACTGGCTGCCACTGTCGACCTCTTGGCATTCTTCTTTTTAAAGGAGAAAGAGTTTACTTTGGGCTCCCTTTCAGCCCATGGCTGGCCCACTCCGTTGCCCTGGGACCCGGTGAGGCGGAGCATCATGGCGGGAGGTGTGGTGGAGGAAAGGTGCCCCGAAGACGGTGGCCAGGAAGAGGAGGGTGCGTCTCACCACTGATCTTCCCTGGCATCCGATTTTGGACAAAATAAGGTTGACTTTTGCTCTTTTGATTTGTTTATTTTTTTTTTAAATTTTGAGAAAGCATAAAGCAAAGGATATAATAAATCATAATATGAAAACATTCATGTTTTTACCACTTAGAACTTTAAGTTGTCAAATTAAAATTTTAAGTTGTAATATTTGCTTCAAGTCTTTTTTTTTAATTTTTTCAATAAAACTATAAACCATTGTTGGGCCTGGGGATGTGGCTCAAGCGGTAACACGCTCGCCTGGCATGCGCAGGGCACTGGGTTCCATCCTCAGCACCACATAAAATAAAATAAAATAAAGATTTTCTGTCCACCGAAAACTGAAAAATAAAAATATTAAAAAATTCTCTCTCTCTCTCTCTCTCTCTCCTCTCTCTCTCTCTCTAAAACAAAACAAAAAAACCCCTATAAACCGTTGGAGTTGCAATAGCAGCCTCTCTCTGGGCTCATTCACACTGTGCTTTCTTTTCCAACACCCCCAGAAGTCACCCTGTCATGGAACTAGATGTGAACCCTTTCTGCTCATTTTGGATACTCTTATATTCATAGGCAGATATTTATGAATGCTATATAATTTTATCTTGTGGGTTGTAAGAAATTTGTAAGTGTGCTTTTAGTACAGTACATACGGTATGCATTACTTCTTTTCATTAAATGATTTGGTTTTTTATGCTTCTCCTCATTGACCTGGTGGAATGGTGTTCTGTAACAAACCACTCTCCTAAAATAAAGAAAATCTGAGCCTGGAGAGTAAAGTCTTCTTTTAAGGAGGGCGTCTGCTGCGATTAAAAGGGACCATGAAGAACACAACCTGGGTGTCCAACAGTTTGATCCTGGTGGCAAGATGTCCATTTTACCTTATGAAGCAGCTGGAAGAGATAGCACCTTGGAGATTCCAGAACTAAGTCACCTCTCTACTGGAAAACCAGGTGAAGTGGAGTTTGTCCATGTTGGGGTTTAGATAGGAGGGGTCCCCCGAAACCCGATGTGAGACAAGGCAAGAGTGATCAGAGGTGAAGTGATCAGATTAGGAGAGCTGCCACCTGATCAGTCTTAAGGGACACAGATAGGGTGTTTCTTAAGGATCCAGACAAGAAAGATGAGCAGCTGAATAAAAGGAGGCTCAGCTCCAGACCTCCAGTCATGACCAGGCTTCCCAGTTGCAGAGCCCTTTCTGGGTAGGTGAGGCCACCTCAGAGTTGGATCTAGTGCCTAAGATCCTGGAGCCCAAACATGCCTCCCCTGTCCACTTTGTGCCTGGGCCCCGAGTTCCTCCTCTGGCTGATGGCATCTTCTCTGCCTTTGACACCAACACAGATGGGTGACAAGGGCCCTGCTGCCCACCTTCCCTGGTGAGGACTCATGCCCATGGTGCCTGGCCATGCCCCATGGACATGGGACCCTAAGGAGGCTACTGGGTTTGCTTCCTCTGTTGGATCGCTTGCCTAGAACCCGTGTCACCTCCATGCATGCATGGCTAGCTGCACAGCTCGGCATTGTCCCGCTGCCCGTTGGAGGTGACAGCCAGTAGTGGCTTGCCTACATTTGAGATGCATGGGGAGGTCAGACCAGGGGAAGGTCAGGTGGGCTTAGGGAAGAGCAAATCCACAGACATCGAGACCACTGTTCCCCAGTAATTTACTCCAGCCTAGAATGTTGTAATTAACCAAAACTGCATGCACATTAAAGGGACAAATAACATCAGAAACAAAATCCACGAACTTGCTTATGACCACATTTATGGGGTGGAGATATTTTATTTGCTGTTCTTATTAAAATCAGGAAGAACACCCAAATGGAAACAAACTCCGGCTATTGATTCTGAGTTTGCTATGTAGTGAGAGAATGGCCCAGCATCCCTGGTGCTTGGCAGAGACTCCAGGGGAGGCAGAGGGCTGGGAAAACTTTCTCTATGGAGAGAGAGGTGGGTGGACTCCAGCTGGGCTCTGATCGGGGTTGTCAGCACAAGGAAGCTCTGTGATTGGGGAACAGAGTTGGCTTTCTCTGGTGGGGGGCTAAGTTGGAAATGGGGGCAAAAGGTAGAGTAACTAGCATTGCTGACCAAGTGCTGGTGGTTCTGGGCTGGCTGCTGCCAGGCTGTGGTCAAAGGTGGCCTGGACATTTCCACTCATATATTCAGCCTCTAACCAGAATGAGTTGAGTTGAGATCTGCGTTTGCAATTTGAAATTTAAATTGAGTGTTATTTTCTTTCCCTGGCTCTTTGGTCATGCCCACAGGTTGCATGGGTGTTTTGGAGGTGCAGATGAAGCACCCGGGATTTGCGGCAGATTCCAAAGTGAAGTAGGAGCCGACCATCTCCTGGATGAAGGTGAAGGGCAGGCTGTACTCTTCGTCCAGTGAGTTTAGTTCACTGATGTTCTTGTTCTAGAAAACAAAGGGGGTTTGTCAGTAGCTGCTATAGTTTGTATCTGGTATGTTCCCCAAAGGGTTAAGGCTTGGTCCCCAGTGTGGCGCGGCTGAGAGGCAGTGGAACCTGTAAGGGGTGGGGCCTAGTGGGAGGTCTTTAGGTCACTGGGGGGCATGCCTGCAAAGTGCACTGTAGGATGCTGGCTCCTTCCTCTTTCTCTTTTGTTTCCTGATCATAACGTCAGCACTTTTGCTCTAGCGCCTGCTTCTGCTGGTAAGCCACCACAGGCCCAGAGCTTTAGGGCCAAAGGATTATGGACCGAAAGCTCCAAAACTGTGAGCCAAAATAAACCTCTTGTCTTAATAAGTTCATTGACCTGGGTATTTGTTACAGTAACTGAAAGTTGACTAATACAGTAGCCAGGCTACTCTCTGAAGGAACAGAAGAAAGATCTGGGTGGTCCCTGCTAAAGTTTAGATTTTCAGCCTTAGCAGTAAGGTTTTCCACTTCCTTGGATGGGAGGGCAGGGTATATTTCCCCTAGCTCTCTTACCTTTAATTCTAACAAGGGACACTTTGGTTCTTTGACTTTGTCACAGCAGAGACAGAGCTTCCCTTTACAGACAGCCAAAAAAATATGATTTGCCTCGGTGGTGCTGCCGCTGGATATGCTTGATGTCTCTTTTGAGGTCGCTATGTAAAAGATCTCTAGAAAAAGTTAAAAAATGGGTCAGATGGAAAATGATGGTTTTGTTGTGGTTTGTTTTTCTGTTGACGTTTCAGGTGCAGAAGCCCTCCTCCCTCTAGCCACATGATCAAACTCGCCCACCATGGGCCAGGGGCCAAGAGCACCTTTTTCCCAGAATCCCCCTCTCCCTGTGTCTCTGGCTCTGCCTTGGTCCCGCCCCCTGTGGGAACCTCTTGGCACCGAGGACTCCTGGGGCCACGGCCCTCCTCTGTCATCACCAGTGGCCCTGAGGCTACTCCCTGGGCAGCGGTGCTTTGTCCTTTCCGGAGAAGGGAGGGGCCGAGTGGTCCCTTTGGAGGGGTGTCCCCCCAGGCTAGGGGCATGGACACAGATATCTGGCACTGAATGAGCAAGCTTGAGAGTCACCTCCGGTTCTGGTGTGTCTATCTGGAACTGCCTTGAGGACGCCGCCTTCCAGGACCAGAACCTGCTGGTTTGGGTCTCGAATTAGAAATTTACTGCAAGTTACAGATTTGATTCTTGAGCCTGGAAAACAGCACCAGGGACAGTACGTTATCAGCCAGGCTGGATTCGGCCCTGGGTCCCCCCTAGGGGCCACGGCTCAGAGGACACGTGTTCCTCTGGTCAACTTTCACCCCAACTCGCTGATAGAGGAGGCTTGGAACCTCCAGTGACCCCTAAGAGGTGCGGTTCACGAGAAGGACACGTAAAATCTCATTTTGCCCACCAGGAAGAGGGGCATCGTGGAACCTGTCCTGCTGGGGTCGATATCAGAGGTGGGGAGGGGCCAATGGAAGCTCGTGGCTACCGACACTAGAAGTGGGCGTGACGTTCTCGAAGCCCATCACTATTACTATTGGTGGTGGCACCTTCTCACTGTGGGCCTGCCCTCTGCGAGGTCAGCTGGCCTGGGTCTCTGCCACCCCGGGCACTGGCTGTGCAGCTGATGAGGACAGGGGAGGGACAGGGATGGCAGACAAGGCAGGAGGCAGCCACTGCCTGGCTGTGTCAGGAAGGGGCTGGGGATCCCGGAGCCAGGGGGGACCAGAGGGGTGTGCCTGCCCCTTTCTGAGGGGCAGGACCAACTGCAGCGATGGCCAGGGATTTGCCTGAATATGGGATGATCTGGGCATTCAGCTGGCGAACTCCTAAGTGGGGAACTTGTTCCTCCTGCCACCTTGATAGAGCGATGACCCTCCTGCAGTGACTGCATGCAGTTTTACCTGGGGTGGGCAAGGGCCCGCACACAGGGCAGGGGACAAGTCGAGTGGAATAACAGGGGTGAGGTGTGCTAATGGGCTGGCCACGTGGCAGGTGGGCAGTGACCCTGCGTGACCAACTGCGTCCACACACACGCAGACTCTTGTCCTCGCTTCATGAAGGTGATGCCTCGGGCAGGGACCCCAGGTCCCTCTCCCCTCCCTGTCATCTGCTGTCCCCGTCCTCCCATCCTGGAACCCTGGCTCACATCTTCCTCCTCCCTGAGGTCCCTCGATCCCTTGCTGCGACCCTCTGCTTTCCTGAACAGTCCACCCTTGACCCATCCTGATGAGGGTCGTTGTGCCTTCGTGTGGCCACTGCTGCGTCCCGTGCTGGATGGACTTCGGACTCATGCTGTACTTTTTGCAGGACAGCACTAGGCTGGCGTTCACTGTCTCGTGGGTCTTGAGGGAGTTGCTGGCATGTTCCCTGGCGGCTCTCCTGGAGCCCCACCTACAGCTTGTCAGGGGTGAGACTGCGGGTGAGCAGAGGACCTGAGCGGAGCCTGCGCTGCCAGCACCCCCTGAATCAGCCTGGCCATCAGCCAGATGGGAGAGGCCACCCTCTCTGGGCCAGCACTCACTCTTGACTCTGCGGCAGATTGTCACAGCACTCGGAGGGATGGGGAAGCTCTGGGTAGCTGTCAACTCTGGGACTCACTGAAGTCCTCCAACCCCAGTGAGTGACAGGAAGAGACCTGCCCTGGCATCAGTCAGACCCCTGTGCCTCCTTGTTGGCCACGGGACTCAGTGACCCTTCTGGTGCTCTGGACATAGGACTTTGCTAGCACAGTTGTTGTGGAGACTAGATGACTTCTCCCGTGGGAAGTGCTCAGCCTGGCGCCTGGTCCTTGCTTGTTCACCAGAGGTGAATTTCCTGCCTTTCACCAGGGTACCAGATCTTGTCCACTTCCTGGCCTTATTCTTTCCCCAAAGGTTAAGACTCTGAAGGCTTAAAATGAGGGGCTGGGCACTACCTCCCCTCCACATGCTGTAGACATACTCAGGAGAGCATTCCCTACATCCTAGGGGACTGTGCCACCCACCACCTGGCATCCAAAGGCCCTTAGACAATCACCTGAGTGGGTGGAAGCCACAAAAGCAGCAGAGGGCCTCTTGCTGATGGCATGAGCCAAAGATAACAGATTAGCAAAAGCCGTTCCGTGTGCGCAGGGTTTATGCTCCCTGAGCTAAGGAATAGTTTAATTCCTAACTTCTGTGGTTTCTGAAGTATGATCTGCAAAACACTCACGTAGAAGCATATTGATGCTCTTGAGGAGGTTGCACATGCAATAATGCTTTGACGACGTTCTACATTCGACTATGTTGACTTGGGTTCTTTTTTTTTTTAATTTAATTTTTTAGGTGTAGTTGAACACAACACCTTCATTTTATTTACTTATTTTTACGTGGTGCTGAGGATCGAACCCAGGGCCTCACACGTGCTAGGAAGGCGCTCTACCACTCAGCCACAGCCCCAGCCCTTGACTTGGGTTCTTTATAGCAAGACTTTTCAGGGCCATTTTTCTCAAATATTTTGGGAAGAATCATAAAAGATTTTGCTATCTGTTGATCTGTTGACCTAGGCAGAACCTTTCTATTTTCAGGGGGAATCCGCGTTCTTGCTTTGGGGAACTGGAACTTCAGTAAGCCTTCCAACTGGAAAGATTTTACTTCTGCTTTTTTTTTTTTTTTTTTTGAGGAGGTTTTAGAGCTGCAAACAAGTCAATTTGAGAAGCAGAGCTTTAAAATTTTTTTTTTTATCTTAGCAGACGATCAAAATCATGTGTGCTCACGCTGTACCTAGGGTCCATCTCCACCATGTTCTGTAACTGCCCCTGTCTACTCAAGGGCCTGGGGGAATTCCAGGAGCTCACACATTTTGCAAGTTGGACAGAGAAACGTGGCTTCTCTGGGCAGCACTGACCACGGTGGGGAACCATTTTTGGATGTCCAGAAGGGATTTGTAGAAGTGTCTTACCTTCTGACCCTGGCTGGGATTCATCCTGGTCCTTGCAGGACCCACGGTTAGTATCCACTTCTGAGATGCCACTCAAAGCAAACATTGCCCCAGCTGAGAATAAGAACAGTGGGTGACGTGACAGCAGGCAGGACCTGTGTTGACAAGAGAACTTTGTCTGTGGAATCTCTGAACTTTATGAAACCTCCCTGGCATGTCTAGCACCTGCAGGACAGTGCTCTGCCTTGCTGAGGAACACTGCCCCTTGTCACAGGGCTCCATCATCCCAACTCAGAACAGAAGTCTACTTTGATTTTACCCACACAAGCAATCCTGAGGTTTGCTATCAGATGCCATGTCTTATTTCCTATGTGGATTGACCCTCCAGACATCGCCTGGGATCTTGCTGGACTGCAGGCTCTGGTTCAGTAGGTCTGCTGGGTCCTGAGATTCTACACGTCTAGCGAGTTCTCAGCGATGCATGTGCTGCTGGGTCACAGATCACACCGAATAGTTCTTCCAAGGAACTCCACTTCTAGCCTCCTGGAGCAGAGCAAGCTCATGATGATGCTTCTGCTTTTCCTTTGGATACCTGCACCCCACACTGCAGGGTCAAGGCCCCTTTACAAATCCTCATCTTGAGGCTGCAAAGAGCATGGGGCAAATATTCTTATTCCCTTTTTACTGGTGAAGAAACTGAAGTTGAGAAATATACCCCAGGTAACAGAGTTAGAAATAAGTAGCAGAGTCCTAGAGTTCAAATCTGGACCTCTTGAGGTTTTCCCAACATGCACCACCCAATCCCTACTGCAGAGATCACCAGGGTGGAGGTCATGAGATGTGAATGCCCATCTCAGCCTGGCCAGCAGTGTGCAGGGTGAACACTAAGCTCTGCAAACCTCTGGGCCTCCAGAGATACACAGGTGGTTTGGCGACACCAGATAGCACTGGCATTTCATGATTCTGGGTGGCCTGGAGAAGCTCTCCAGACTTCCAGGTGCACACGTTAGCCGGGCCCTGTTAAGATGCAGTCTGATTCAGTGTATCTGAGGTGGGGACCAAGCTCGTAGTTCTCACAAGATTCCAGGGAACACAGATGCTATGGATCCACAGACCATTTTGCATTTTGGTTCGGCCGTATCTTGGAATCATCTGAGCAACTTCAAAAGTCCCTGGGTTCCTGTCTCCAGAGACAGACTCAGGTGATCTGGGTAGAGGCCAGGCAGTGGCAAGTTTTGAAAGCTCTCGAAGACCACAACTGGGAATCACTGTGTATAGGATCTGGCTCTCGGTTGCACCACCAGATGACGCAGCTGTCTGATAATTATTAAGCTCAGCTCCTAGATTTTCTGATATTAGATGAGTCATGTGTGTAAAGGACAAACTGCCCTGCACTTATTTTCTTCCTTATACTCTGTGGGAACCACAGCTCTTTGGAGATCCCACTGGGAGATAAGCTTAGAGGGTGACTCTTTTGGCTACAGCAGAGTTGAGTTGGCCTGCATGTGCTAGATCCTGGTTGGGGTTGGTAGCAGAACATGGTACCCCAAAATCTGTTCCATCAAATTTAGTTTCTAGTTGGACCAGACACAATCGTCAGCTTAGGGTCTTTTTACCTTGATGGGGGATTTTGAAGGTCACATCTATACCCAATCATTAATTTGGAAACATGGCTCCTAAAGAGTGGAACCCTGGGGTACCTCCTTGCATTTGTGGGAGGCCAAACGTAGAAACGTCTGTCAGACCCCTCTGAACCCTTACCATTAAGTGGCTACAGCCCAGCTATGTAATAAACAGAATTGTTGGGCATTCCTTTTGGCTGGAAGGCAGTGAAGAAATTCCTGGAGATGGTAATTAGAACGGAGAAGTTTGGAAACCTGTGATTAGGGGTAGGAAGCAGCATTCTTTGGGCAGAGTACTGCCCTGGGATTAGTCAATGGTGCCGTTAGGAGTGGGAGGAAACTTCACAGTGGCATTAGGACTTGCTCGGCGACAAGGACTAGCTGGATTAGCCCAGTAAGGCAGCAGCAGCCTGGGAAGGACAGGGCAGGGGGCCTGGGAAGAGGGAGAAGCTGAAGGCCATCAAAGTACACGATACCTCTGAGAAGTGTCTGAAGGAGGCAGCGTGGTGGGATGCTTGCCAGGAGGCATCTGAGGGTCCCGGTGGGTTGTTGGCTAGACCAGTTCCATCCCTGTGACCACCAGCTCTTTGCTGGTCAAAGTGTGCTCTGGGGAGCAGTAACCTCAGCAGGACTTGCAAACTCACAAGAGACGTAGAATCTGGAGCCCCGTCCTAGACCAGATCAGAACCTGCACTTCAACAAGACCTCCACTGGATTCCCATGCGTTGGCGTCTGAGGAGCCCTGTGCTGGATGACATGTTCTTCAATACGGCGGACACGGAAATATCCAAAGGAGTTTTGAAAGATCCCGAAGCTTGGTTCTGCCCCGCACAGTCTTATTTAATTGGTTCATGGAGCAGATTCAGCACTGGGATATTTAAAACTCCTCTGGGCATTTCTAAAACCAGGACAATTGGGCTGATATAAATGCTTCATGACACTGGTTTATTTGGAAAACCAAAGTTCTGGGACAGTGTGGTTCCAACATAGAGGATAACTGAAATATAAGAGCCTCAACAGAGGGTTCAGCAGATACAAGAAATCAGTGCCCACAGGGGTATCCTTGAAGGGTCAGGAAACAGGGTCAGGGAAACTTGGTTTTCCACCAAATGTTAAGTACAAATTTAAGTTGATTTTACTTAAATGTTGCAAACAGGAAAGCCTGGAGGTTGGGGACATTTGAGCGGTTGACTTCTGGTTTGGGTGTGGTCTGTCTCCCAGGCATTCATATGTTGAATGTTTGTTCCTCAGAGTGACTAAGTAGGGAACAATGGGACCTTTAAGAGGGTAGAGGTTGTTACTGGTCCCTTTCTGTCTTTCCATGTGATGACTCCCTCCCATAACTATTCCTGCCATAAGGTGCCAAGTGGCCAAAGGAGTCCTGGCCATGCTGCTTGGACTTTCAGTCTCCAAAACTGTGAGCTACATGAACTTTTCCTTATAAGTAATCCAGCCTCAGATGGTTCATCGTAGTCACAGAAAAATAACATACAGAGGGCTGATGAAATTCATAGCGACCTTCAGATGTATCCACTTAGGTGATAGGCATGGACCCATCTGAAGAAATGCTATTTTCAGCCATCTGGGAGCAATACTCGTCAAGGAAAGAAAGCTCAAAGCAGTTCCAAAAGCAGTTCCTAAGATTAATTCTCTATTTGCCTTAACCGTCAACCCAGACCCTGGAATAGAAGAGCAGGTGATGCCTGGTACCTTGCCACAGAGCATGGAGGTATTTGTTCTCAAGCTCTGTCCTCTCCCTCTGCCTATGTAACTAACAGCTCACTGATTTCTAGTACAAGCCCTCCTGGGGAAAAAGTCTGCTCTTGGACTTTGGACTAAGTTGCTCAGAGTAGGTCCCAGGGATAATATGCAGAAAGTTAGAAAAGCCATAAGGAAGAGAGTCTCCCAGTAAGAAAACAGCCAGGCCAAGTTAATAAGTCCTATTCCATCTCCCCATCCGTGCACACTAATGGCTAAGGAATATGAGTTAGGCTTGACCAAAGCATAGGAAGGGCCAAAGTCACAGGGACCAGAGCCCAGAAGGGTACTCCAGTTCACTGGGAGCTCACACCACTCACCAGGTCAGCATCTGGAGCAGAGTGAATTCTGAAGCTCTCCGGAGTGTCTTCCACCACAGTGATCCCAGAGACTATTGCCTCACTGGAGATCATAAAATGGGAGTGGTTAGATGTGGAATTGTGACAGCAGTCACCCAATAGGGTGTTGGTGGGGTACATTAGAAATGACTACAAGGTTTTGGACATGCCTTTCATGAAGAGATGGAGTCTGTGTCTCCCCACCTGGACTCTTGACCAACAGGATGCAGTGGAATGATATGCTGATCTCCAGCCTCATCCAGGTCTCAGGGGATTGGCAGCTCCTGCTACCTCTCCCTGGGAATATTGTTCTTGGAACACAGACTGCATGCCATTCTCAGTCTCTCATGGAGCCTAGTGACAGCCCCAGCTGCAGCCTCGGACAGTTCCCACAAATGGTCAGCCCAAGTGAGTGAGCACTCAGTCGGCACTGACCCTCCAGCCCTCCGTGAGCAAGTGGACCCCAGCGAACCACCTAGGCCCAGCCATGCCCAGACCACAGAATTATGAGCAAACTCAGCTACTAACTTTTGGGCTGGCTTTTTTGGTCCAGGTAACTGGAACTGAAGTAGGTACCAGGGTGAGGCGCTCTAGTAAATACAGCTTAAAATACAGGTGCTGGCTTTGGGTCTGAGGGGCAGGTGGAAGATGGGGGCCCTCTAGGAAGCTGTTAGTCAGAGATGAAGAACATGAGGAAAGTGAAACAAAAGCCAGATAAAAACAATGCTTGGTATATTGTGGTGGGAAGTGTAGCAAAACCGTCACCTGAAATTGTAAGACCTCAGAAAGATTGAAGAGCATGTCTGGAGGGTCCCTTAGGAAACCTTAAGGCTGGATCCCACAGCAGCTTCACAGGGCACTTGACTTGAAAAGAAGGATCAGTCTGTTTTTTGTCAAATGGAATTGATTATAAATTGATAATGCAAAATGGGTTTAATCATTGTAGTAGCTTAGACTGACAGGTATAGAGGAGGTAGAACAAGAGGCCTTGATAGATTATTGTATATGTGGTATATACATGCCATACATTCTGTTACTGGAGGAGACTTTGGGGGCTCTTGGAAGGGGGAGAGTTGATTTCACATAATGAAATATATTTATTTATAAAATATATTTTATTATTTATAAGAATATAATTAATCTGTGACCCAAAGGTGGACTGCAAATATCAAAGACAGATGTGAATTCCTTGGCTCTTCTCCAACCACGGGATACCACCTGCCTGTCCTCTCAGGTTCGTTCCGTGACTCATCCTATCCGTGTGCATTCCGTGACTTACCGCGACTACACAGAAATGCAGCTTCCCTCGGTTTCTGAGCCCAGGTCTGAAAAGACAGACAGCTCCCACTCTTCTGCAGGTTGGATACCTGCTCTTGGAATCCACCTGCTCTTCTGTAAAGACGTCGGAGCAGCCCCAAGAGAGGCCGCGTGGACAGGACCCAGAGCTCCCAGCCAGTGGGGATCACCAACTTGCCAGCCATCCAACGGAGCCATTATGGATGCAAACCCTCCAGGGTTGCTCAAGCCCCGCTCAGAACAGAGACAAGCAGTCTCCACTGAGCTCTGTCCAGATTGCAGGTCCTTGAACCAAGTAAATGTCGTTTGAAACTAGTGTCTGGGAATGGTTAGTCCAGTAGAGATTATTTGGCTTCCCATCGTCTTTTAGTGTATCCATCTTCAACTGCATGAAATCGTCTAAGGCATGAAGAGGGAGGTGGACTTAGACCAGGGGGCTGCACTTCCATGTTCACGTCCACAGCTAAGTGACCACAGAAAGTAGCCCTGCGAGAAAGGGAAGGCCAGCGGCAAGGGAGTCTGGTGGGAAGACGGGGTTCTGGAGGACTTCTGCTCTCTTGGTGGTTTCCTGGGCAATCCAGGGGGCCAGACAGACGTGGTGCATCCATCTCTTCTGCCAGGAGTTCACTGAGGCTCAACCAGCCCTCTCTGCACCGCCTCCCTGTCTCTTCCTCCTGCAATGTGAGGCAGCGTGGGGAGACTTCCTTTAACCACGACTCACAGGAACCTGCTTCTCTTCACAGCCTGTTGGCTCTGTGGAGATTTATCTCACTTTATTTTTCTTTGTAAATATTAGTTAATGTTTTTATTTAATTTTTTTAAAACCATAACTATATGAGTGCCAAAATAAGATGGCAAATTCAGGGAAAAAATCCTTAAACTAATGGGGAACATCCCACAACGATGAGTACTCGGACGCATGTTACTGAGGGTGTGAGCTGTAAGCACTCCCTGTGTTTTTGCACTTAAATCTTACCACAGCCTAGGTAAATTTACTTTTCTATTAAGATACTTCTTAATCACTGGGAACATGTGATGTTCATCCTTCCAGTACTTTACTTTTCATATACATACATACACACACATATATGTTTACTTTTATTTACAAAGATAGAACCACGCATGAAAAATTAATCTATGATCTGTTTTTGTGTCTAGCAGTGTGCCTTGAATGTCTGTCAATGTCACAAGGGAGACCTCTGCAGGATCGCTTTTCACAGTTGCATAACGTTCCACCGAGCGTGTTAAGATACGTGGAAAACTCATCCTCCCCGCTGCGACGGTGTGGGAGTGTTAGAAAGGGGCTGCCGTCTCGGCTGGCTGATTCCTTGTTAGTCTTCTCTTGAGGATGAAAATGCCAAACAAGGTCATGGAACTGTGCTCAAGGGGACTCTGTCCTGTTGACTATCCAGGTCTTTGCTTTGGTAAACTCTGAAAAGGAAAAAGATTCAGACTCTACGGGGAGTCAGGCAGGGGTTGGGAAACACCCGTTTCAATGAGGACCAGTGCTGCTGTGGTCAGAAGAAAGGAGTTGGGAAGGGAAGCCGGGAGGAGAGGAAGGGGACGGAGAGCCAGGGAGGGGTGGGGTGGGGAGAGACCAGAGCTGGGAAGGGAGAAGTCTTCCAGTGGCTTCCTGACTTGAGGGGGCATGGAAAGAAAGACCAGAGGTTGAGCTGCGTTCGGTGGTCACGCTGTCACCCTTCTCCACACCTTTGACAAATCTCTGGTGTTTTCCACCTTGTGAACCCATATTTGGGTCCAAGTAGACTCCCTGAGCATAAGAGGTGAAAGTTGGGGAATGAGGACAGCTTCCACGGGGGTTACCTGCGGACATGCCACAAGTCATCAAAGTGATTTCATGCCATTAGACACGGAGGTGTAGCTATAGAAGCCGTGGAGTGAAAATTTCCTTAGAGGACAGCCTTGGAAGAGGAATCTCTAGGTTAAAGAGGAGACTCCCAGCCTCCATGTTTATAGCTGCACAACACAAAATAACCAAATCATGGAACTGGCCCAGGTGCCCATCAAGGGAAGAATGAATACGTGTAGGAAGTGGGGTACACACACAGTGGAGACTCAGCCACAAAGCAGAGTGAAATTGACATTTGTTGGTGAGTAGGTAGAACGGGAGACTACCATGCCAGGGGAAATAAGTCAGACTCAGAAAACTAAGAGTCAAATGTTTTCTTTCATATGTAGAAACTATAGCAAAATCAGGGAAAGAAGGAGGAGGGATCAGATGTCATAAAGATGTAGGGAAGAAGGGGATTGAGAGGGAGGCGGAGGAAAAGTGGAATCCATTTAACATAATCTTGGTTGGCGCAGGTGTAAATACACCTCAGCAAATCCCACCATTATGCATATGTAGAAAGCGCCAATCAAAATAAATAAATAAATGAGCAAAAACAAGATCAGTAGAGGAATAAGGGTGGGAAAAAGAGGAGGGGAGGAAAGGGGTAGAACTGGGGCTGAAGGGAGTAAGACAAATTCCGGGCATGCGTGATTTTGTCAAAATCAGCCTGACTACTAGGTGTGACCACATGCTCTAACAAAAACATAAACATATAAAGAGTAAGCTCTGGGAATGGCTTTACTATGTCGGAAACTTTAAAAACTACTTGGTAACAGAAAATCAAAACTTCTGGTGGTTTGTCTTACTAGTTCACGTTTACAGCCTGCTGAGCCGTGAGATTAAAGCCCTCTGGTCTCTGTGACAGACAGTGGCCAGGCGGCTTTCCCTCCACTTGCCCAGGCCTGAATGCTGCGTCGGAGCAACTCCAAGGCCTCAGTCTCCCTGCCATCGCCATGGTCCAACCAGTGGACTCCACTAGTATGTGTCATGAAGGGGTGCCTAGGATGGTCAGCGGCTGCTTTACAGGGAACTCAACCCCACTCCCCTCGTGGAATAGGTGGCCTTGAGTGGATGGTCCAGCTGATGCTTCCTGTGGGGACACAGGTGGTGACAGGTCTGGCACACCCCATCATGGGTGCGCCTTGGGGGAGGTCCTCTGTCTGCTCCTGGTCTAGGTGTTGGTGTCCTCACACAAGGGTCATCCCTGTTGTAATGCCCTCTGCGTCATTTTGTAATGATGGCAACTCTAGGTCCCATCATAGGTGTGCGCCAGGCACTGCCCAGCTTGGCCACAGCCCGGGTTACCCAGCACTTGTGGGCTCTGTCAGAGGGCCTAGAAGAGACCTCTGGCACAGAGTCTGTTCCTGACTCTGGGACGGGGCATGCCTTGGGTGTGCCCAGTGTGCCGCTATGGCCCCAGGCCTGGACTCGGACTCTGGAGGAGGACAAAGGACACAGAATGTCCTTGCTGAGTGCCTGTGGTGACCCACTTAGCAGGGTGGCACATTTCTCTCCAGAGTCTAAGCTTCAATTCAGTTCCAGACTAGGAGACCAGCCCTGAGGGGCAGAGGCACGTTCCTCCCCATTCAACCAGAGGGGCAGGGGGAGTCCACGCTGGGGCTGGGGCAGGACCGGTCAGCAGGACTCTTTTCTCCTAGTCCTCAGGCTTGGTCTCCAGGGGCCCTGGGGAGGGGAGAGGGCCTCTGTGTCCTGGAACCAGCTGCTTTCTCCTGTGCTTTCTCTGGAATTCGATTCCAGGACTGTGCCAGGTGTTTGGGGAGACCCACGGGAGGTGATAAAAATCAATGGAAACCCTCAAAGAACAACAGGACATAGAGGAACAAGGGCAGAATAGTTTCGCATGGTGAGTCAATGCTGCCTGCGGACTCTGAGCAGAATCCCTGCCGCTCAGCTGGGGCCCTCTGCACCCCATGTGGCTGATAGCGGGTTGGTCCGGAGCAGGGGGCTTAGCAGACACCCTGA